GGCGACTTGAGTGTTGGAGCATCGATTTTTTTTTTGGAGCATTTTATTTATCTTGGAGCAGCAACTTTAATTAAAAAAGGAGAAGCACAAGCAACGCGGTATTTTTGAAGAAGAACACGGACAAGCAAGAGGAGTTTTGACGACAAAGATCTTCTGAGCTTGTGTTCTTTATTGCTATTCTCATATCATATTTGACATTACTATGTTCTTGCTTTTTGGATAGTTTAATTTGATATAGTGTATCTCGTTCGAAATCGTGATATATTTTACTTCATTCACTAGACGTGTTTGAGATATTTTGGAAATTGTTTGAAAAACATTGTAATTGATTTCTAGTGAATGTTTTTGGATGTTGCCTTAGTTTACAAGTGATTTTCACTTTTAGGCTAAATTTTGAATCTTTCGTGTTTACTTATTTTCTGCTGCGTACTTTAATTTTTTATCTTTGTGTGAAAATATAGATATTTGGGTACCTAAAATTCTAACATATGCTAAAAGTATCATACGAATCATTCAATTTATTTTTTCCTCATTTAGAAATTTCACATAAATTAATGCAACAATGTCAAGTAAATCGAGGAAGCTACTAAACTCCATAATTATTAAACAACCTTATTAATGTAAAATCAAAAGTTTCAGGTTTTCATGGCTAACTAGTGCATGTCCCGTGCGATGCACGGATAAGCTCATATTTTAAATTTTTTTTAGACTTTATTTTAAATATAATTTATTTATATATAAATACAAACAATGAAAAACATATATTACTAAACTCTTCTCTTTACACAACATTTTTTGGAAGTTATAATATGTTGGATTCTTTTAACTATAACTAATAATATAGGAATGTAATTTGTAAATACACTTATATAGGAATGTAATTTGTAAATACATTTATATAGGAATGTAATTTTTTAAATAGTTAAAAAAGGTAAAAAGAATAACCTAACATTTTAGGATTTTTTTAATGTATAAGTATATATTATTTTAAATCAGAGGGTGTTTTTCTTTTAAGTATATATTAAAATACACGATTTTTTTATGTTCTTTAATTAAATTTTGTTCATTAAGATAAGATAAACAATAGTTGTTTATTGTAATTGAACACGTTTTGATTATAAGTTTTTTAAATAATTATGAAATTTGTGGAAGTTGTAATCTATTTGGATTCTTTTTTCTATTTCTAATCTTTTATGTATCTATGCATTTTAATCGGTCTGAAATTTGTTGAAGTGGTAATCTTTTTGGATCCCAAACACTTAAATTCAACCGCAATTCACGTTTAATGTCTACTAGTACAATTCTCGTGTATTACACGGATGTTGAATTAGAAAACTTTTGTAAAAAATATTAAATTTTTTATTTTTTTAAAAACTAAAAAAATTAATTTTATATAAAACATTACTTTGGTTTTAATTAAATTGTCAAATTATATTTTTTAATCATAATAATAAAACACCCGTACATTAAATGAAAATGTCAACCGGTGTTGAATTTTTTTTACTTATATCATTTAAAAATATAAATATTATTTAGTATTACATAAGTACAAAAATATATATCTTAAATAAATAGAAATAATATGGTAATATGTATATGCATAAGTGTAGAATATATTTATTTAATATTAAGCAAAATAGATTATTTTTTTTACTTAATTAGATGCCTAATACATAAAGTGTCATATCAATCGTGTTTCACAGTTTTTTAACTTTATATGTAATTTTAGAACTTAGAGAAATAATTATTTATTTTTATTTGATTGACAACATACCAATTAGATTTAAAATTAATATCATTTTTAAAAGAATACATACCAATTTCTATTACTTTATAATATAATTTATAGTTTTATTTTATATAATTTAATTTAGTTTGATAAATAAATTTAAATTTTATTTATAAGGATATATATTACATTTTTGTAATTTATATATATAATATGGATGTCAAATCGAAAATAATCAAAATCTGGTTAATTAGATATATTATATATGTAAAACCGATAAGATATACAAAAGTTATCAATTTTTAAAGTAGTTTATGATAATTAATTGTAAAGTAAAGAAAGAAAAAATCAATTATGAATTTAGTATGATATAATACATTAATTTATTTCCAAGTCTAACTCCAAAGCATGATTTTTTGCCAATTAGAATTCCGAAGCATGAGAATTTGCTACGTAGGCTCAGCGCATTCTGAAATTATATAGAAGTTATCAATTTTTAAAGTAGTTTATGATAATTAATTGTAAAGTAAAGAAAGAAGAAATCAATTATGGATTTAGTATGATAAAATACATTAATTTATTTTCAATTCTAACTCCAAAGCATGATTTTTTGCCAAATAGGATTCTGAAGCATGAGAATTTGCCACGTAGGTTCAGCGCATTCTGAAATTATATATAGAGGGGATTACCATATAAAACGTTAGCAAAATATTTCAAATAAAATTTGAGGGGAAAATTAGAAATTTGAGCGGAAAAATGAAATTAATTTTATATATTTTTTCAAAAAATTTTTCTTAACTGTATTATAGTAATAGATTACATCATACTCATTCACATCTAACCATATTTTTTAATTATATAATGCAGCCTCTCATACTAATAAGATAGGACTTTGTTTTCAACATAGGACTTTGTTTTTAATTTTTGTGCGTTTGACTGCTAGTTAGCAAACGGCACTCCGAATAGTCTTCCTCGAGAGACAAAACTCAAGGTCAGGATTTATTTTATACTCGGCTAAAAGCTACAAACAAACCACCGTTCCGATTTGAACCAAATCCAAAATCAGCGGTTTGATGTCAATATTCTTAATTCAGAATTATTTATTTTAAATTATTTTATTATTTTTTATAAATTTTCCTCTTCAGAGCCGAACCGGTCTTCAACTAGAACTGTCGGATTATTAATCCGATCTTTAGTCTTTTCTGGGCCGAGGCCGGTTCTGGTTCACCAAAATGACGAACCTAAACCACTAGTTCTGCATCGAAATGGGCTCGAAACCGAGTTTTGGCCACAATTACATTCCACAACTTTTTTCACCACATTGGCAGTTGGATAATTAGATTTTATGACTAAGATGTACTTTTTAAATTGTGCCCCTCGTACTAGTGAGGTCTGCATCCGCCCCTGCCTTTCACTGAAAACCATTTTCAGTTTAGGCTATCCATATATATATTATTCCAACAAAAATAATTCTATTGATGACCATGGACAAAAAATTCCAACATACAAAGGTTATGAGTTACCACATGCCGCAACTTTCTTCACGACATTTAAATAAAAATTAATGAGTCAAAACTTTATTCATGGCAGCTTCTTCTTCTACTACGTCCTTTAATACTTGTTAACTTTGTAAAATATAACATTTAAATAAAAATTAATGAGTCAAAACTTTATTCATGGCAGCTTCTTCTTCTACTACGTCCTTTAATACTTGTTAACTTTGTAAAATATATATTAATAGATTCAAATTAGTAAGAAAAACTAGAACTGGCAATCATGATAAAAACATACTAGTGAAATAACAGTTGACATAGTTCAAAATATGAACGAATCAAAAAGCCGAGAATAAGAATGGACAAAGCTTTACCATAAACGATTCAAAATTTAGAACTGACAAGCATGTTAAAAACAAACTAGCAAAATAACCATTGATCCAATCCAGGATAAGCGTAATTCAAAAGGCTAAACAACGCAAGATCTGTTTTTTTCGTCATCAATTCAAAGTCTAATAATTCCTACCAATCCTCATGAGGGCAATATAAGCTACAAGTCGATACCCCACAAGCAACACAGCCATGGTGATCACAGACACGACAATACCATCGAGCCCGACAGTTGCTATCGCCGGGAAATCCTCAACTCGACAAGTCTTGTTAGCGCCACAAGGATATGTCTCGCCAGGCGCGTATTGCGAAGCCAAAAGTAGCTTGTACGTGTACTGTGGAATCGAGATGTACTTAATCCAGCCCACGAATCTTGGCACGTGTTGAGCATAGTACCCGCTGGACAGCAATGAGGTCAGCATGATAACCGAGCCAAGCGTGATGGCTGATTTCGAGTCCATGACCACCGCACCAAGGGCAAGCCCAAGCCCTTGAGTGCACATCACGCTGTATAAAAGAACGAGTAGGCCCAACGAAAAGGATCCTATTGTGGCCCTAAGACCCGCCATCCAATAGGTGATGGTGTAGGCTACGGTGGGAAGGACTAACTCCATTGGAAGGTCACCAAGAGTCCGAGCCATGAAGTAGGATGACAATCGGTACATGCCGGAAGATCTTTCCTTGGAGAGTATAGTGCATTCTTGAGGGAAAGTGAAGATGGCTTGAAATAGAGGGTAGAAGCCCCAAAACGACGAGTAGAAGAAGAAAAGCCCGACCTATATACATGTCATTCACAATTTAAACATGTCCAAGATGCAAAAGGTTTCGGTTTATTTGTAATTAATAAATTAAGAGTTGAGTGTGACCTGGTCTTGTAAGTGACTGGTTTTGGATTGCCACCAGATTAGACCGCTCACAATAGCCACGATGAGAACCTCGACGACCTTGAGTATAGAAAACGAGTCGTGCTTCCTTTCTTTGATCCCTCTAGTAAAAAGCACCGAGAATTGCAACCACCAATTGTTAGGCCACCACATACTAGGCTGCTTATCACCGTGTAGTGGGAAATTCAACCGACTGCCTTCATCCGCAACATTTATTTCCGATTTCACATTACTTGATAAATGTGTCTCGTAAGCCGCCACCAACGTCTTCTGAATCTCAGCTCGACCCTCGTCCGAATCCACAGTAGAAATACCTAATGGACAACCAGAAAGTAATTTAAGTTTAACCATTATTAATAAAGGAAAGGAAATTCTATAGATACAACAAACTCACCATTGGCAAGGTCCAACAAGAAGTCAGCAGGATTCATGGGGACCAACGGGGCAAACCCAATTCCCGAGAAATAATCGAGTGCGCCCGATCCCTGCCCGAAGAACAAAGGGCTCCCATCGCACAACAGAAGGACCTTGTGAAACTCGTAGAAGATCCTGCTCGACGGCTGGTGGATCGTCATCACGACACTCCTCCCTTCGTCAGCCATCCCACGCAGCGTCGACACGAGCCTTGATGCATTGGTCGAGTCGAGCCCGGACGTGGGCTCGTCGAGCAGCAGCAGGCCTGGGTTTATGAGCATCTCCTGCCCGATACTCACCCGCTTCCTCTCCCCGCCCGACACGCCCCTCATGAGCGGGCCGCCCACAATGCTGTCCCAGCACTTCGACAGCCCGAGCTGGGCCCCCACGGCAACCGCGTGCCTTGCCTTCTCGGCCGAGGACAGGCTGGACGGCAGCCGGAGGAGGGCTGTGTAGATGAGGGTCTCCCCCACGGTCAGATGAGGATGGAGGACGTCGTCTTGGGTCACAAACCCTATGGCCCGCTTGGCGGCCGACGAGAACGGCCTGCCGTTGTAGGTTATGTTGCCGGAGAGACGGCGGCTACCGGAGAGACGGCCGCCAAGGGCGGTCAGGAGGGTGGTTTTGCCGCTGCCTGAAGGGCCAAGCATGGCCAGGATCTCGCCGGGCCGGACCGCACCCGATATGCCTTTCAGGATTCCTATTCCTCGTTTGAGTTCGTAAGCGACATCTAGGAACTGTGATTTTGTATGCATTCGTCAGATCCATAGTCGACCAAAGGAAATTAAAAATTAAATTAACGAATTAATGTACCTCCAGACTGACAGCTTAAAATTAAATTAACGAATTAATGTACCTCCAGACTGACAGCAGCTGTCGCACGAATTTCACCCATTCTTGCCCCACAAATTTCACCCATGCTCCTCTCGAATATAAATTTGTTTCTTCAGCGAAGATAAGAGGATTCTATGACTGCGTCTTGAAAAATGCTCTCCTTGTTAGGTTTTTAAATGGAACGCACGACTGTTCGCGTGAATTATTCTTGAGTTATATATTTTAGAAATTAGATTATTAATTATATATTTAAATTTTATATATGACTTTACGCAACATACAAAAAAATTATCTTCTGCCAAAAGAAAAAAATATAAATCATGTCTATCTAGAATATTAAAAACATCTACTACATGTTATATAAAAAACATCTACTACATGTTATATAACATATTTGTACAAATACGTAAAATGTTCCATAATTGAGACGGGTGAAATCATCTATCTAAATTTTTCTAAAATATTATAAAAAGATATTTTAAAGGTTATATATATGAAATACAATTTCCAACAAAACTTATCAATCAAATTCCTATATATCTATAAAATAGTTAAGTTATTTAATCCTACTATTCATAAATACAACTTCCCACAATTTTATAATTAATTTATTAAACATTTATGGCTGAATTCGTTTAAAAAATTTAAAGAAATAATATAATTAGGATAGACATATTATTCTTAAGAAGTTTTTGTGAAGAGTAACGGCAACATTAGATTTCTCGAGACACATGAATTCTTGAGTTATCATTCGCTCCCAAAATTTTAGAAATTAGATTATTAAAAATTAGATTATTTATTACTAGGCCCGTGCTATTCACGGAATAATATATTTTTCTAAAACTTTTCTAATATTGAATATTAAATTTAATAGACTGGGTGTATATGTAACAAATTTAAACAGATAGGACAAATTAAAAAATTCATAAATTATTGAATGCTTCCTTGTAACATTTTTGTTTAATTTGGTGGCGAATCATCGTCACCACAGACTAATATTTTAAATAATTTTAGCATATGGATTTGATAATAATAAATAAAAAATAAAAAAAATATATTATTTACCTCTTCATCATTGAAATCTATTTCCAACTACTTGGCTTTGAATTTGCTTTCAAATATACGAATAACCCTGTCAAGTATAACTTGTTTNTTATACGAACTGCATATTATATGATGAAAAAAAATGAAATTAGTCAGATTCTATAGATTACGGATTCAAAAAAATGCTAAAAAATGTGGTAAATGATTTGTGTAATTGACTACTATCATAAATTATTTGTGTTATGCGATATATGGTTCTAATTAAAACAATCGTTCAAGATTTGTGATGTTTCTATTATGTCCGACTTATTTTGCGGTAAGATAATAATGAATTGCTTAAATGAGATATATTTTACTATTTGGTTAGACTTTTACTAACATAAAATGAGAAATATTCGAGTCCTTTAGGGGGTGATTGGATACAAATTGTACAGTAAAAAAACCAATCAAAACTCAAATTTAACTCAACTTCACTATCTTCAATATTATCAATATAATTAAATAATATCAACAAATCATTCTTACACATCACATCAACTTTAATTCACTATTCATCTACTCACATAATTTTAACTAACTATCACTTCCAATCATTTTCTCCTACTTTTACATCAAATCAACTTTAATTATTTTATTGTAAATATTATTTTAATATATCCACTAACAACTAACCATACCATCTTTTTCCAAACTTAACTATAGTTACAAAATAACTAGTTTTTTACTAGTTGAATTCATATCCAATCACCCCCTTAATAATTGTTTTAACCGAATTTCCTTAAAATTATGTAACCAAATTCTGAAAGAATTTTTTGTAGATATAATTGAATCAAATATTGCAATCAGAATATAAAATAATTTTTAAGAATGATATATTTTTTTGTTATAAGTGAATGTTCCCTAAAAATTTGGTAACAATGTATTAGCTTTTTTATTATCCTGTGGTATGTGAAATTGAAATTCTTTGACATTGGTTTATTTATTTAGATGTGTTTCTATGAAACAGTATAGGTAAAATTAAATTTGATTTATGTAGATTTATATTTATTATTCATTCATATAATTATTTAATTAAATAAGTTCGTTATTTATTAGTATGTAAATTTGAATGATGGATTTATAATTGGTCAAATAATATGTAAATCAAAATTTTGGATTACATTTGTGTTAATTTTTGCCATTTTATGCATGTTAGTTACAAAGGACAAATTTCAATAAAAGAATATTTCGATGTCTGTTTGGTTATAGTATCCCATTGTATTTGTGAAAAAAAAATAATACATTAAGTTTTATTTAATTGATTATAAATAATATTTTAATTATAAATTAGAATGATAGATAAAGTTTCACTGCCAAACGTTTTCTGTATAGAAAATCTCTCTACTAATTGTCCAAATAAATTTTAGATAAACATGGTATGCACTAATTAGTGTTCAATTTGCAATTTTTCAATTAGACTTAAAAAATACTTTAATATTTATTATATTTAAGGTTACCACACTAAAAATGTTTGGTGAATAAATAAAATTAGTAGGACAATGGGAGTTTGAAAAAAAAAATTAATAATAAAAAAACCTCGTATATTGTTTTGATCGTATATTGATAGTATTCACGTTGTTGTATGTTGATTGGTTTGCCATCTTTAAAAAAATAAAATGTGAGTTTGCGAGGAAGTATGGACTAGACTCCTCTATTCTGATCCACATCGTGGAATGGGATAATGAGCCCAAAAAACCGGTCTAGGAGACTCGAGGAAGCCCCTCAAGGCTACACTTAGATAATAATAATCCGAAAATGTCGTTTGGAATAAGAAACTCACTTTCGTGAAAGTTGAAAGGATTAGGCTCCGCTTGACCCGGTTAGTCTCTTTCTAGATGGATCGGGTAATGAATACGGAAAACCGGCCTAGGAGACTTCGGGACGAACCACGAGGTTAAACCTAGGTAATAATCGTCCTAACAACTCTCATTTGGAAAAAGTGACTCATGTAAAAAAAAAAAAAACAAAAAAAAAGAAGTGAATAAAGAGGGGAAAAATTGATCATATGCCATCGTTTTTAATGTTTGGAAAATCTCGACTACGTAAAATTCACCGTTTGGGAAGAATCAATACTTTTTGATTACTAATGTTCTTTTTTAAGCTTAATATATTTAATATTGTCATAAAATCACACACACATATATATATGTTTTTTTTAATTATTATGAGATTTGATAATTTTTGAAATATCGACTACACAAAATGTTCGTTTAAAAAAGTCACAGTTTAGAAAGAATCAATATTCTCTAATTCCTAGTGTTCTTTTTTGGGCTTAATATATGTAATATTGTGATATTCTTTTTTAATTATTATGAGATAGGATAAATTATAAAAATTGGATCGATTGCATATATGACACATTGTTTATTTTTAATTTTTTTAAATATTTTTAAATTAATTATATCCACAAATAATGTTAACGTAAATTAAATATTTAACATTATATAAAAAAGGATACTATTTATTTTATGACAGTTATGAATAATAATAATAAAAACAATGCCATTATATGATAACAAATTTTAAAATAGAATAATATTTGAATATTATGATGATAAAATAAATAAAATTATTATTTTTTTGAAAAAATAAATATATGTTTTAAAATATTATTTATATTAATATAAACAGATGAACGAATTAATATATTATTAAATAAAATAAAAAAAATAAATTGTAACAATTGAAATAGAAAGCGTCTTATCATCAAGATGCGCTTCGTTGTCTTGTATGACTACGTGACGTTCCCTAACAACAAGTTTGTAAAAAAAAATTAATAATAATTAAAAAAAAAACTTTCTTAATCGAAAATTAATTTTAAGAAATTGTTCAAAAAAGGCTGCCTTCGCATAACTGCATAACGATTCTCGTGCTCACACGATAAAATCTGAAAAAATAATTAAATGAAAAGATCCCTCAAACTTGGAGATTCTTGAAAATACCGCTCACACGATCAAATCTGAAAAAAAAATAATTAAACGAAAAGATCCCTACCGATTTTTTTTCAACAGCACTCGGATAAGGATTCTAATGTTTCACACTGATGTTATATACGGCGAATCTTGTGGAAGGGCCTCCGTGAATCTTCAGTTCATACTCTTTAGTCCGCGCAAGGCAATCACTTCGCATAAAAAGGTAAATTTTAGAGGCAAAGGTTTTTCGTCACTTGATACAAGTAAAGTTTATCTGCGGTTGGCTTTTGCTCATTTCATACGTAGAGTCGTATATACTGTGAAATTAATATAATCCGTGTGTTATTTAATAGAGAAAGTTTGTATCTTTAATTGGTAGTCGTGTTATTTCATTGATAGATGTTTATGGTTCACTGGTAATATACTCAATTTCCAGTTTGTGCAAAAGAGCAGCCATGGATAAAACTGATTCGAGCATAGAACCAACTCCCATCACCAGGCTTGAGGTTTGTTTGTATTTTTGTATTGTTTATGTGTGTGTATATTTGTATTTCCTCATTTAAGTGGTTACCGATAGTAACTAAGTTGCTCTTGTGTTGTGGGTTTTTTATTCCATTTACTAAATTTCAGGGTAAGACTAAAGCAATTGTAGTGTGTTGGTTTCTTGGACTTGGAGCACTTGTAGCATGGAATAGTATGCTGACTATTGCAGATTACTACTATCAGTTGTTCCCGGTAGGCATATTTTTCCACATCCTCAAAGATTTATTTTTTTGTTTTATTGAATAGTGCCCTTGTATTCTTTGTCGACAAAAATCTATCTCGTAGAATATAACCCTACTGTTTATGTATTTTTTTTCTTTTCACTTTCTTTGTATTGTAGAGATACCATCCTTCCAGGGTACTTACCCTTGTTTACCAGCCATTTGCGCTTGGAACAATGGCAATTCTTGCTTACTATGAGGCCAAAATTGACACAAGGAAGAGGAACTTGTTTGGATACATCCTTTTCTGCATAAGCACATTTGGACTTTTAGTGGTTAATAAGTTATCCTAGTCATTTTGAGTCATTTTTTTTTTCCGCATTACTTTTGGCTATATTTGATCCTAACTTGTATTTGGTTTACTAGATAGATTTAGCCACATCGGGAAAAGGAGGGATCGGAAATTACATTGGCATTTGTGCTTTCGTTGCCGCTTTTGGAGTGGCTGATGCATTGACGCAGGGTGGGCTAATCGGCGATCTTGCTTTTATGTGTCCTGAATTCTTGCAGGTATACAAATATAATTATATAAATCAATTTCTAATTTGCAAAAGAAATTAGTTTGCTTTAAATTTTGTTGTTCGTTCTTGTTGGATTTTTCAGTCGTTTTTTGCTGGTTTGGCGGCATCGGGAGCTTTAACTTCTGGCTTGAGGCTAATCACTAAGGCAGCTTTTGATAAAACCGAAAATGGTCTTCGTAAGGGAGTCAGTAAGTCACTGTCTTACTCTAAAATGTAATCTTTATCTCATGTAGCTTTCACGAGTACTTCATAATATTAATTGCTTGATTTTATTTTTTTTTTCAATTCATCTAATATATATTTGCTTTTTTCTGTTTTTGTCAATTATGCAGTTCTGTTTCTTGCCATCTCGACATTTTTTGAATTTATATGTATTTTCCTCTACGCATTTGTGTTCGGGAATCTACCGATCGTGAAGAACTTCCGGAAAAAAGCAGCCTTGGAAGGGTCCAAAACGGTCTCGGCTGATCTTGCAGCCGCGGGTATCCATACCTCAAATGGCAAAATTGTAAAAAATCAATTCTTAAAACCCACATATCTTCGATTGGTATTTTAACAGTTATTTTTTTTTTATGAATTCCATATAGTTCTAAAAGATAATTTCTCTACCACCTCAGGTGGATGATCCTAAAGAGGCCCGATTAGGCAACAAGGAGCTGCTACTTCAGAACTATGATTACGCATTGGACCTTTACTTAATATTTGGACTCACACTCTCGATTTTCCCTGGTTTCTTATATGAAAACACGGGCAACCACCAATTGGGATCTTGGTAAAATTGATCATAAGTTCATAACAAGCACAATAACACGAGCATTATTTGTTCTTGCTATGCTCTTTTGGCTTTTCTTTCTGTTTAATCAC